GTAAGGAGAGCCAATATGTCCTTTTAAACAAATTTTATTTTTTGAAAGTATTATATACTTTTTCGTTTAATAAATGAGGTCTACAAAATATATTCTTTAAATGGCTCAAAGTCACCATTAGACATAAAATAAAGTGGTTGGGATAGTGTCAAGATTATTTTATCAATTATAAATTAACAATTTAACTCAATTTTCTAAGTCTCTAATAGTGTTGATGTTTCCTAAATCAAAAGGCCCTCACTGCACCAGCTAGTCCAGACTTCCTGTCAGCATTTTCCTAAAGATAGCTAACTATAAGTCTATCAGCTCAGCTATATCCCCACCCCACAATATAGTTTAATGTGCAAAACACACTAGAAGGAGGAGAGCATGGATGTTGTTACCGCAATTAAGAAACAATCTCATTAGTTTAAGTGAGAGACAAAAGAACTAGCTGAAGTAAAAACAAGAGACACATAATAGATGAGAAAGATACTTGGGAAATAAACTACCAGGATCTTGGGATGTATTTGAAATGTATGTAAGAAATAGGAACATTTCCAGGATGAATCCCAGATTTCTAACTTGCATGATTTAATAGATGATAAAACCATTTACCAAAAAAGGGGGCCCTGTAGTAATGCTGAGTCTTAAGAAGTAGGCCCATACAATCATAATTTTAGAGATGAACAATTTAAAGATGCTATACCAAGTATCTTTTGATAGCCTCTACACCTAACCCACTCTTTGCAGTACAGATTATCAACAGGCAACCTTATCCTCTAGGTTCCCTTGAGTTCATCAGTGGAGACCTCTGGGAACTAATCAGAAAGTATTTATTTTATTCTTTTGATCCACCCTTATCTTGAGTTAAACCCTTCAATAGGAAATGTCATACTTTCAAAACAACCTTTTCATAAAACTCCCTCCTGAGTACCAGAAACTACTCTCTCAAACCAGTCCATAAAACAGCAGGGAAAAAAATGCTTTCAAATTAATTTTTACAAAGCCAGTCTTACTCTGATATTAAAACTGATAAAAGCACAACAAAAAGAAAACAAAAGGTAACATTCTTGATGAACACACATACAACAGTATTCAATAAAATACTCAAAAACCAAACTTAACAATATGTACAATGTACTATTATTTTAGATGTGTGTGGTATATGCCTGTGGCATTGTGGAGGTGAGAAGTCAATACTGACTGTTTTCTTCTACTATACTACTCCTTATTTTGTCTTGGTTTTGTTTGCTTGATATGCTTGATGTAGGACCTCATTCTGCAGTCCTGCTGTCTTACGACTGACTCTATGCGGCCTAGGGTGGGCTGGAACTCAAAGATCCACCTGCCTCTGCTTTCCAAGCACTGAATCTAAAAGACACATGCCATCTCACTTTATCTTATTTTGTGGAGAAAGCATCTCTTACTGAGTGGAAACATGAAACGCTAGTGAGGAAATAACAGTTTACTTAAATATACATTTTGTGGGAGCTTTTTTTTTTTTAAATATCAAACCAAACAGCTGACAGCACACTATCACTTAAGTCAATATAGTATTGTAGTATATTACAATTTTCCTCTCTTTTTGTCCTTTTTAAAAATTAAAGCCAGACAGTAGTGGCCCATGCCTTTAATCTCAGCACTCAGGAGGCAGAAACAGGCAGATCTCTGTGAGTTCAAGGTCAGCCTGGTCTACAGAGTTTCAGGACAGGCTTCAAAGTTACACAGGGAAACCCTGTCTCAAAAAACCAAAAAGTATGTGTATGTGTATGTGTACATGCTTGTGTGTGTGTGTGTGGGGTGCATGGTGAGGCTAGAGGTTGATGTTCTGTGTCTTCCTTTATAGCTTTCCAACTTATTTTGAAGCAGGGTCTCCCACTGAGCTTAGAGCTTACTGACTGGTTAGACTGGCTGAGAGGCACAGTCTTGGAACCCCATCTCCGACTCCTGGTACTGGATGTGTGCTACCACACCCAGTTGCTTATGTAGGCACTAGGAATCAAATGTAGGCCCACATGCTTGCTCAGCAAGTACTTTACCCACTAAGCCTTTTCCCCAGACCAAATTTGGTTTTATGAGACAGAATCTGGTAAAGACCATGTTTACCCTCAAACTCCCTACATAGCCAACTCCTGATCTTCCAAGTGCTGAGATTACAGCACCACCATGCTCAGCTAATTTGTACAATAATGAGTTGATTTTATAATTAAAAAATTACAAGTATGTAGTAACAATTTACATTAGATGAAGCTCAATCTGACAGAATTAAGAAATAGATAAAAGGTCACTACACTACATGATTACAAATTTCTACATATTTACAAGTTTAAATGATTTATAATACAAAATATTGTTGAGATAATTTAAAGAAAACAATTACCCAGAAATTAATCAGTAATACCCATGCAATATTTATCAAAATTTCCTCAGACTTATTTTTTTGTAGGGAAATTTACAGTGTTCTAAAATTACATGGAAAAGAAAAGATCATAGTACAGACAAATTTGAAAATAGCAGTATCAAATGAAACAGTCATCAAATTAAAGCAGTAGTAGCATAAATGTATCTACACATAAGAGAGCTCAGAATGACTCAAATATATGTTCAATTAACTTCAATAAAGATGCATAGAGAATTCAGTGAAAAAAGGATAGGTGGTTTTTTTGTTTTTCACAATATGTGATATTAGCATAACTGACTACCAGTAATGGAAAAAACTAGTTTTATCCTTTTCTCACACTACACCCAAAAGTTAATTTCAATTAGGTACTGAATATAATCATAAAAAAAGGAAACTTAGAAATACTGAAGCTATGTTACAATTTCTTATACAGGTCACAAAAAACGTAACTTTTTTTAAAAAATTCAATCAACTGAATGTCAAAGGTAAACTTTTCTTTTTGAAAAACACTGAAATCAGAAAGGCAGGACACAGTTTTTTGTTTTTCGAGACGCGGTTTCCGTGTAACAAATAGTTCTGGCTGTCCTGGAACTCACTTTGTAGACCCGGCAGGCTTCAAACTCACAGAGATCCATCTCCCTCTGCCTCCCAAGTGCTGGATTTAAATGTGTATGCCACCACTGCCGGGAAGGACACATTTTTGAAGAAGCATCTGCAAATCATATTTACCTGGCAAAGGACTTATATCTTGGATATATAATTAGTTCTTACATTTAATTAAGAAAACATATAGAAGCTGGGTGTGGTGGTGCATGGGGGCATTTAGTGGACAATGTTCTGCCATGGCTTATTCTCCTAGGTTTATTTTTGGGAAGGGTAACATAAATACATGTAAGGCTGGAAAAAACAAAAAAAAAGATGATTTGGGACTATTCTAGATTCCCACTATACATTCATACTTGGATGCTTCAACATTTATTATCTTAATCCCTTTATTTTTAGACAAGTTCATTGTTCCTTCCCTTTCAGCTCAAATTTTCAAACTTACAGTTTCTTTGCTATTTTGGCTGTTTTGCAAACCACAAGGTAGTTTACTGCTTAGTAGCACAGGCGCAAGAGCCACTCAAAAACTGTGTGACTTTGGGAAAACTACTTTATTTCTCTGTGACTCATGATACAAGTTGACTACACATGTGAAGAGCTAGGTCTGTCTCAGAAAATAAATACTATACTCAAGTTTTCTTCCTTGTCACCACAGTGTCATTCCTGTTGTGTATAGCTGGCTTCAAACCTCATAGAGAGCTACCTGCCTCACCTCCTGAGCACTGGAATTGAAGGCAGGTGCCACTACACCCACTTGTGCTCCATTTTTTAATTCTTCCTTTGCTCTACTTGTATCAAGGAAGGTATTAAGTTCTCTTAACTCTTCCTACAACACTCTCTCTCTATTTTTGATAACTAGTAATTGAAGTCTTTTCTTCCATCAGCTTTCCAAAATTTTTGGTTCCTCATATTCTAATCAGTTATGTAGTATTATCAGGTTAATTTTAATTCTTTCCAAAAATTCCTATTTCCTATAGCAGAAAAACTCTGGGGTGCTGAACAAGAGGGAAAATGTGTTTTATACCTGTTTTGCAAATTAATCCTGTTATAAAAAGTATGATTGCTCAAAGTATCATGGCTGAGTTTTAGCCATACAATTATCAAAGCAAGTTCCATTTATTAATATAAGAGCAACAAAATGTTTAAAGTTGCATTAGCAAATCCTAACTATATCAGCAAACATTCCTCGCATAGTCTGAGATTTGATTTGGTGTAAAATCACTAGTAAATTACAGAAACTTGAGTTTCATTTAACTCTTGGGGTTCTACTTTCCAAATGATACATAAGGTCATCACTGTATCTTCATGGGCACAGAAAGGTACCACTAATAGAGTACAAGACTCTTTTCTGAAGAGTCTAAAACAAGCAGTTATTCAAGAAGGTAAAAATATTACTGGAGGAAATGGCAGAGGTGTATTTATGTCACTGTTTTATTAAATCTGATTTTTATTTTATATGTATGGATGGGTGTTTTGACCCCATGTGTGTCTGTCTGTGCACCATGTGCATGCCTGGTATCCCCAGAGGCCAGAAGAGGGTACTGGATTCCCTGGAACCAGAGCTAGACAGTTGTGAGCTACCATGTGGGTACTGGGAATTGAACCTGGACCTTCTGTGGAAGCAGCAAGTGCTTTCAGCCCCTATGTCATTCTTGAACATTATTATTTCTGGAGTTGGTAATAATTGAATGGCGTGTGATTCTACTCTAAAAATACAAATGTATATAAAAATGGCTATAATCTGAAGTTCCCTTGAGAATAGTTCTAGAAAACTTGAAAATCTTTTATAAAATTATTTTTGCATACTGTCAAAATAATTTGTTTTAAAATTTAAAACTACACTTTAAAACAAAGTTCACTGTGACTCATTAACAATTCATGTTTTGTTGACAGTACATTACTACTAAATCTACTAAATGCGGAATACTACTAAAATGTGATATTGGCATATAAATGCAGCTATTCTCCATAAGTAATTCTTGGAAATCTCAACAGTTAACATTTTAACATTTACCTTTTTTCTTCTTTTGCTCTCAGCTGTTCTTCCTGTCTCAAAACTTGAACCATTATAGACTCAAAAACTCCACTTGTCAAACCTGCCAAACTTCGAGGTGTTGACCGGCGCCTTGTTGAAGTACATGCAGTTCCCTTCTCCTCCTCCAATCCATAATAGCCTCTAGATGTAACTGCTATCGTTGTCTTTTCTCTCAAGTGCCTTGGAGAAGAACAAGTCAATTCACAAGGTCAAATCTTCCAGATAAGTAACGCACCCTTTCACTAGCACCTTAAGTAGAATCACTTTTGCTACTACAAAATATTTAGTTAAACCTTTTTCTTCCACGTCCCAGTTTTATCTGTTCCACACAAGATTCTAACTTCTTTCACATAAATTTCATTGAGGGACAGTCCCTCCTCTACATTTAAAAAGTATCAGCATGAAGCATTCAAATTAAGGACTAAAACACTAATTCTATTAAAAACATCAATAGAAAGTTTTTGTTTGCAAGGTATCATACTGTTTATTAATGTATGAGAGAACATACAATGATATAAAAACATTTTGGGAAAGAAGATTTCGGTAATAAATACTTTGGGGAAATTATAAACAAGTGCAGTGTTACAATATATAGCAATTATATTACATGTGTCCTAAGGGTAAGGAATTACAAGGCCCAAGGAAAATAGCTGCTGAGCAATAACAAGCCCTGAATAGAAGAAGTAGAGGTTTGTTTAAATGTATTTTTACAAAATGATCTAACTCTGTAATATTAATTCTTATCAATACTAATGAAATATAGTAATAAAAATGAATGAACAATGTAATGAAATCTGTCTTCTGACTGAACAGATTCAGAATTTAGAATTCTAGAATTCCTCTTCAATCTCAATGCGAATGTATCCTTCATGATATTTTTATTACTTCATTGAGATACTGGTTAAAAATATTATCCCAACAGTTCACTTAATTGTGCACAAATCACCTTAATGAGTTTGAACTGCCTAAAAAAAATTATATTAGACCTAGGAATGTAGCTCAGAGGCAGTAAGCATAAGACCCAAAGAATGATCAACAGTACAACAAGAAAAGTCAATAAAAATATATTTACACTAGAAAAGGGAACATTATATATAATAACAGTAAATAAAAAAATCAGGGAAAACATCTCTTTTTCTACCTTTGTAAAATATGCCAAATCCTCTGAAAATTTCATGCAAACTCAAGACAGTTCTAAAAGCAACCACTCAAAATACTATATAATAACTTATATGAGGATTTTCCTCCCTTGAGCCCCTCCCACTTTTGGAAGCTCTCTTCTTACTTTTCCTTCATAAATATACATTCCCTCTGTTTAAACAAACCACACGCAAAAAAAAAAAAAAGAATTTCTATGAATTAAATGTTGATTGTGGATATAGTTCCCTCATTCCCTAAAAACTGTCAAAAAGTTCACTGAAATATAAATCTTTACACTATGAGATACAATCAAACCCCTTCCCTTCTTAAACTGTGTCCACATCAGTTTATGATTATAAATTAGGATAACTTATCACTCTTACCTTCACTGGCATCTGGATCCCATGAATAGAATCTACTAAATTATCGTACTACTGTTTTGTTTTGTTTTCTGTTACAAGGAGTTGGCACTAACTGATTTATTCTCATAGGATAAGAACATTAGTTTTCTAATAATGAAGAATTTGGGCTCAACTCATCTGGTGTGCTATTTCAAGCTGCTGTCACCCTTTTTAAAAAAATTAATTTTTTAATTAAAAATTTAAATTTATTGTGTGCTGGGGAAGGGAACACATGCCATACTATGCCTGTAGAGAGATTAGAGGGTTGCTTTCAAGTGTCAGTATATTCTTTCTACCTTTAAACAAAATTTTATATTTATCTATTCATTTATTGTCTGTGTACAGACAGGTATATGTGAAGACCAGAAGTCAACTTCAGAAAGTTGGTTTTTTTCCTTCCCCCCACAGGGGTTCCAAGGAATAAACTCTAGTTACCAGACTTGGTAGTAAGTACCTTCAGCTGACCCCCCCATATTACATTAACTAATGTACCAGAGAATATAAACATTCATCTAATAAGACCAGATATATGCATTCACTGAAAAAGACATCATTATAGCTAAGTGTAAAAAAGTTTTTGAGTAAGATATGTTTAACCTACAAACATCACAGATATAAACAGCATCTAGAAGTCTGTGTGCTTGTGTATACGTGAGTCCAAACTCTTAACCGAGATTACTACAAATGCTCATGACAAGGCTTTTTCCTTTTATTCTGTTCTATCGATACAGAAACCTGTGCAATACTTTTAAAAGTTACATAGAGTAGGTCATTACCTTACTGTCTCCTCCAGAATCCTCCAGTCATACTTAGAACACATTTGACATTCTGATAACTTCTAAGACCTAGTATGATATGGTCCTTAGCTCCTTAAGGCCCCCTACCCTTTCAGCGTTTCTAAGTCTTTGCTCTCTGCATTCCAGATAGACTTCTATCTATTCTCAAGCCACACCAACACAATCTACTTCCCTAGAATCTTTGTGCCCTATTCTCCCATAAAAATATACTCCCCCTCTGATATTCATGTGCAAGTCTGTCATTTCAACCATGTTTCAAAGGCCACCAAATCTGAGAAGGTTTTCTTTGATCATTAAGTTTAATAACAGCTCTATGCTCTTACATTGGTTTATTTTACTTATTACCACACAGTGTTAATGAACATTTATTTAGTAATTGTCTATCCCCCTCCCACCTGACCCCCTCAAAAAGCTATGCAAAATAGGAGGCAAAAAGACTAATACAGAGCCAGAGGTAACGGATGATGACTCCGAGAAAACAGTGTCTCAGAGACACAACAAGACTGAAGCATACACGAACTCACAGAGACTGTAGCACGCACAAAGCCTGTACAGGCTCAATTCAGACAGAGTTCCAACACTGAGGAGAAAACTGGACCACAGGCTCCCACCCCCAACCAAGAAGCTATCTGCAATTGATATTATCTGCTAGTGCTTCAGGGTAGGCCCCATGCCCAAGAGAAGTTGGCCAACACAAAACAGATTCAAAAGTATTTTTTTGTAGACTTGTTTGTCTCATTTTGCTTTGCTTGGGCATTTTTTTGCAATATGGTCTTTTGCTTGTATAATTTGGCTTCTGTTTTTGTATGGGTTTTATGTGTGTCTGTTTCTTGATTTCTGTTTGTTTTTTTAAAGAAAAAAGAAGGAAAAAGAACATAAAATTGGGTTTCTGGGGAGGTAGGGAGGATATAAAGGGAGATAAACATGATCAAAATATATTGTATGAATTTTTTTCAATTAAAAAAATAATTATCTATCCCCAACCAGAAGGAAAAGCCCAAGAATATAAGAGACTTTTCTTCCCTATTGACTGTACTTTTTGACCCCCAACTATAGCATGCGTATATGTGATGTGTGTGTACGTGCATGTTTAAATATCTTCGAAAGGATAGAAGTCACACTGTTTCACATTTTTCAGTTACATATATTTTTAAAATCTCCAATCAATGTCTTTGTCCACGGCAAGAGTCCTGATTAAACATGTTGTTTGGTTTTTATTCATCAGAGAATAAAATGCCATAAAGATTAAAATAAAAATCTCACCTCACCTCAGAACAGCAAGTGTCTTATAATCAAGGACTACATCAACACACTAAAATGAATCTTCCCTTTAAAAACAACAACAACAAAAAACCCAAGCACTTTTCTTCATATGAGAAAAATTATTTCATGAAATCATTGTCAGTAGTTTGAAAACAATACACTGCCAACTATACACAAAGCCTTGGCAACAATTATATATGACTCATTGAGTTTTTGTCATCATTTCTATTGTTTTTTTTCCTTTAGAGCATAAAATGTTTATCCCAATACATTCTGAATCTTAGAATTCAGAAACTAATTTCTACTTACAATTACTGAAACAAGTATTAACAAGAAGAAAATTGATGTTAAATAATTGATACTTAAAACTAATATAAATAATTGATACTAAAACTAATATGCTCGATATTTACTAAAAAATCAACACAGATACTGTCTCTTCTTAAAAACAGATTTTTAGGAATGTTTCCATTATTATGTGGGTGTTTTTTGTTTGCTATTATTAAGAGCATTGTGAATTGTCACTAATAGTACAGCTATTTGTATGGAAGTAGAGTTCAAAAATAGAGAACATATTTAGCATGCACAAGTCCTGGGTTTATTCCCCAACTCACTCTCTCTCTCTCTCCCCCCCCCCCCGTAATTGTGACCTAGAAATAAAATTACCTAATGTTTCATATTCTAAGTGAAAATTTTCACTTTGTTAACTCAGTTAATTAGAAAAAAACATTAAAAATTCAACTATAACTAAGCCCCAAGGTCCTACCAAGAAAGGACATGTAAAAAGACAGTGAGTGACAATGCGGAAACTATTTACACATGTGCAGTCAAGGCTAAGAGAAAGCTAGGAAGAGATGATAAAGTATTCCTGAATCAGCCACAACAAGGAGTTATTCCCATTCTAAGCCTAAAAGAGGAAGAGAAGGGAATGGGGAGTAGTTACTACACCAAGAGAGCTGTAACTAAATAAGAGAGCCACACAATGACTGAGCATAGTTACTGACAACCTGAAGACCAGGAAAGAGGAAGATGTTAAAGTAAATACTCCTACCTCTCTGTCCTCCTGTCAGTGCCTTCCATTGGCTGAACCCAATCAGAAGTCAGGGGACTAGGCAGACCAGTTGATGCAGTCCTTAGAAATCAGCCTCCTGGGGCACAGAGCAGAGTATACAAGGGTGGAGAATGTATTTGGAGAAGCGTATGATGACTAACAGCATAGCACAACCTAAGTATTAGTTTTCAAGAACAACTGAATGAAATTAGAAAAGACAGAGTTTACTAGGGACTTCAATAGAAACTTAGGCACATTTGCTAGATGAGCAATGTAATCATTGCTTCTGGCAGGGTACTCTAAATGAGCTCTGAACTGCACCAATCATTAAAACCCAGTATCCAAATAAGCCTAGCATAAAAGACGTTTTTTCAAATATCTCAACAGCCAAGTATTAAACCAAACCTAGACACACAAATCACAATGCTCTCATGAAAATAATTTTTGTACTTTTAGTGCTTAGAGAAATTCTTATATGACATTTATAAATAATATAAGCATACTATAGTATACACACTCATTTTCTGT